GGAGGGAAAGATGGCAAAGAGATGGAGGGAGGGAGGGAGGCTCTCCCACCCACCCCCATCAAGCCCCCACCACCCCCACCCCCGCGGATCCCTTACTTACCACTTCAGCGGGTGCCGGGAAAGCCAGTGGTGGGGCTCTCTGGCCTCCTCCGAGCCACAGCGCTTCTGCGCAGGCCCGGGGGAGCCGGCTGTGGGGCTCTCCGGGTGTCCCCCCAGCGCTTCTCCGTGGGCCTGGGGGAGCTGGCAGCGGGGCTCTCTGGCCCTCCCCCGAGCCACAGCGCTTTTGGCACGAGGAGCTGGGGGCGGGGCTGGCCGCTGTCACCATTTGCGCGGGCTCCTGGGCTGCCGGAGCAGCGCTCTGGCCCCCAAAGACCCCTGAGCCAAAGTCAGTCTTGTGAAGCAAGCTGCCCTGACCTGGATAGCCCAGACAAGCCCGATCTCATCGGATCACGAAAGCCAAAAGCGCCAGCCCTGGCTAGTATTTGGATGGTATACATCCAAGGAATACCAGGGTAGTGATGCAGAGGCAGGTGATGGCAAGCCACCTCTGAATGACCCTTGCCTTCAAGCCCCACTAGGGGTCGGCAGAAGTCAGCTTGACTTGATGGCAAAAAAATGAAAAAAATCTTGTGAAGCAAGCTCAAGTGCCAAGTTTGATTAACAGCAAGAATGGTAGACAAATGGTTTCATTCTAAGGTTCTTGACTCAGAATTTCAGAAAGATGACTGCACTGAGTCATCTTATAAACCATTTACATACTTTCATTGCCTTTCTTTTGTATGTTGCCAAAGTTTAAGAATGCAAAAAGTATGTCAGTGAATATTGCTATGTGCCAAGGGTCCTCTAATCTTATTTGCTGGTGTTGAGCACCAACAAGAAGAGGCAAGTGTCTGCAGAACCCAGATATACACCAGAACAGTCTAGGACGGCAGTTTGTAGGGCCACAACCAAATCAAAATCTAACCCCCAAATTAGGGGAAAGTCTGGGTTTTTTGTCTGGATTTTTTTTTTTGCGGCAAAACTGTTGGTGACAGGGCACTAGGAAAAGCTGCAAAGCATGTGAAATGATTTTACTCACTGTCTAATAATGGCATCTTATTTCAGCGTGCAGGGCTGCTGCAAGATAAATAGGTTATGGCTGAGTCTAACTGCAAGATGTAACACTGTCTGAAACTAGATTGACTAACACACAAACTTGTTTCTCCTGTTAAAATTGGTTTTCCATTCATACTTTTTTTTTTAATGAACCTGCTCTTAAATGTGCTCTTGTATGCTGACAAAAAGAAATATTTACTCAGGGAATTGTAGAATTCACTGCCAATGGATGCAGAGATGATCTTAGCTAATGGGAAACAAAGGTAGCTGCCCTGGGCCCCATAGTGGGGGTCCTCCTGACCACCCACCACAGTAATGTGTGTGTGTGTGGGGGAAAGACCAGGCTTCTGCCACTGGCACCCATCCTATCTGCAGATAGCTTGTGGTGATGGCTTCCACCCACCTCACACAGATGACAAGGGGTGCTCCTCACTTGGCTCTGGCAGGAGTATGGCAGAAGGCAGTGATTCTGTGTCTCCATGCTGAACTTTTGCCCAGGGCCCTAGAATCACTAAGACTGCCCCTAAGTGGATATAGTCATGGCCATGGCTATTGGTGGCTTTAAAAAGGAGATTAAACAGATTCATGGAGGAGAGGTCCATCAGTGGCTTTTCACCAAGATGACTAAAGAGAACTTCTACCTTCAGAGGTAGTAAACCTCTGAATACCAGTGCTGGGAAGCAGCTTCAGGAGAAGGTCTTTGTCTCTCTGTGCCCTGTTTGTTGGCTCTCTAGGGCAACTGCTTGGCCACTATATGATACAGGGTGCTGGAGTAGATGGTCCTCTGGTCTGATCCAGTAGGGGTCTTCTCCTTAGGTTCTTATTCATTGTTTGATTCATGGCTGTTCCCACTTATTGCTTCCTCTAATTCATTGTTGTGCACCCCAACAATTCATTTAGCCACTGCTGTTGATCTTCAAACTACTTAAGGACATCATGCATTTAAATGACTGGCAGCCAGAGTAGTGTAGTAGTTAGAATGTTGTACTAGGATCTGGGAAACCCAGGTTTGATTTCCCACTCTGCGATGGAACCGAAAAGTGTTCTAAAGGAGAAAAATCAGTTTACTATCTGATGTATAAAACAAGCCAATGTGGTGTAGTGGTTAAGTATTGGACTAGTATCTGGGAGACCTGAGTTTGGATCCCCACTTGTGCTATGGAAGTTCACTGGGTGACCTTGGGCCAGTCACACATTCTTGGCCTAACATGCCTCATAGGGTTGTTGTTGTGAGGATAAAATGGATGGGAAGAGAACAGTGTTTTGGGTCCCCTTGGGGGGAAAGATGAGGTGTAAATGAAATGCATAAATAAAGTAATGCAGCACTCTTAATGATCCAGGGTAACCAGCTAGACAAAAGTATTATCCTTGATGATACACAAAATGGAATCAGCATAGTGCTGGAAGGAAGCAATGTATTATCCGACAGAATAGAGAACACTACATAAGACAGCCAGTGTGGAGTAGTGGTTACAGTGGCAGAGAAGAATTGGAGAAGCCTGCGTTCAAGTCTTTACTTGGCTAGGAAGGTTGCAGGATGACCTTGGTCAGATACTCTTTTGGACTGACCTGTCTCAAAGAGTTGTTGTGAAAACAAAATGGGTGAAGAACTAATTATTTAACTTATATCCCACCCTCAGGGTGGCTTACAACATAATAAAAACAATTAAAAAAGATATAAAAACAGTTAAACCACTGAGTGATTAAAACAAGATGATGTCTCCTGTGGCATTTTAACAGGTGATGGTAGAGGGCCTGATTTATAACAGTTTTTAATCAGATGGTGGGAGGTCCCTAAAACTCTCTTTAACTCTCTGGGGAAAGGGTGGGATAAAAAAATATCAGTGGGGCAATTCCTTTGAGTCCCGGTGAAACCAAGTGGCCATTTTCATGTAGTAGGATTGCCACTCCTGAGACTTATAGCCCTTGCAGAAGGACATGACACTTTGACACAGCAACTGATTTATTAGCATGTGCTTCTTGAGCTCTAGCAAGGGTCCCTGGATACAGAAGTGTTTGGCACTCTTGTACTTTTTATAGCTGCCTAGAATACAAGAGTGTTAAGAAATAGATTTTTGTCACCTTTCATGAGAAACTGCATCTTTTCAAATTCCCTCTGTGGCGTCCTTGCTTATCGGGGAGACAGTTTTTCATTTAAAACACTCTCTGTGTACCTAAGCTTGGTAGATTTCTGCTGTCACCAGGAATTAAAAATTCCAAATCTCTCTCTTTTGGTAGAATGACCTAGGGTCTGGGCACTTCAGAGGACTATGTGGCCCTGTGGAAGGACTATTCTGATTTCTGGGATAAGTTTAATAAAAAAATGATTTATTTAATAAAGAACAAAATAGGTTTCTGGGTAATTTGAACTGTTGCTGATGAAAGGAACTTGTAAATATAACTGGCAAAGCTTGGTGTCACAAACAGTCTCTTAGACTCCCAAAACTCCACTCTGACAGGCGTAGACACTCAGTCTAATCTCTCTCTCTCTCATCTATATAGCCACACAGGCTGAACTTTGTCTTATTCACGCAGAATAGACTCAAAATTCATATTCACTCAGACTAAACTGTTCGTCTTATTCACACAGAATAGACTCAAAAACTCCCATTGACACAGACTATGCTCTCTCTTCAAACTTCACACACAGAATCACTTCATAGACACCCCTCCTTCCACACTCTCAGTCAACAGCCAATCACATTACACTTGTCTCCCTCTATCACTCTTCTTACAGTACTGCAGTCAAACCAAACATTTAAAGAAACACACACACCATAACATGAAATCATTACGCCCTCTGTCATTGGATCCAAAGCCCTGTCATCCTTGCATCTAGTCAGTGTGAGTATGAAAATGCCTGCTTTTCAGATTTAAGTTATTATTCCAGCATTAAAAGGCTATAGTCAAGTTAAACAGAAATAATCATCCCCTTGCCCGTCACTCAGATGATTAACTGTTGCTTTTGTTTTTCTCATCAGTTTTTCATTGGACTACTCCTGATCCTTCTTCTCCAGGTTGTAGCGGGCATATTGGGAGCAGTATATAAGTCAGAGGTACTGTGTTCTCTGCTCATTCTGGCTCCATTCCATGGGACTGATACCAAATGTGCTGACAGATAGTGTGTTGCTTTCCAGGTTGAAAGTGCCATAAACGCCACCATCCAGGAGGAGGTGAATCAGCTGAAAACAGATGCCACATTTCAGGCTCAGTTTCGTGAATTTGAGAAAGAGGTAAACAGGATCTACTTATTTTATGTGTGTTTTAAATTCCATGTAGGGTAGCCTGTCCATGATTGACTGCAGCAGGTACTTTTTCATTCCACCTCTGCCCTGTGGACTGGGCTCCCTGAGGAGGTCATGGTGGGGTGCCAACTCTAGAGGTGCAAGAAGATTTTGCAAGGGCGTGTCAGGAGCAATGCCAATCAGGTCTACTTTGAAGTAATTCCCATTTTATTCTGTGAAGCTTATGCCTATAGGGGTATAAATATTTTAATAATTAATGCTGATCTCCCAATAATAGCAGAAAGCATCACCTGCTGATTTTTACATGCTGCTGAAAGCCCTGAGGAATAGCCAGGATCATTTTCTTGTCGCTTGCCAGCCTTCTACCTGGCTATCCTGTTTAATCCTACCACCTGCCTTGGTCTTCTGGAGCACCAGACACTTAATCACTGCATTTTTCAGGGTTATGAACTTGCCTTTAACAAAACAAAAAAACCCCTGAAATGTTAGTGCTGGGTACTCTTGGGAAAACGAGTCTATCATAAACACTCTGTATAGTGTTTGGAATAAGCCTGAAACTCTAGAGTGGCTTGCTACCTGAAGGACTGCCATACTATCCATCCTGCCAGTTAAAACCTGCCTCTAAAGCCCTGCTCTGTGCCTCAGAGGGGAGGCAGGTAGCAACAACAGACAGAGCATTTTCTGTGGTGGCACTTCACCTTTGGAATCCCCCCCCATTGAGGCTTAGGGTTGCCAGGTCCCCCCACCCAGATACCATCAGGGGATGGGAGATATGGCTGCCAGATCTAGGTTGGGAAGTTCCTGGAGATTTGGGGGTGGAGCCTGGGGAGGACAGGGACCTCAGTGGGGTACAGTGCCATAGATTCCACCCTCCAAAGCATCATTTTCTCCAGTGGAACTGATCTCTGTAGTTTGGAGATGAGCTGTAATTCCAGGGGAGACTGGCATCCCTAATGGATAGTCAGTGAAAGCCTGTTTGTACCTGTAAGCATTAAAGAGAATTCAGATCCCTAGGTCCCTCCTGGAGTATGGCATCCCTACTCTCACTAAAAGGAAAAAGAAATGACACACATGGCTGTACCTAATAAGTAGCCTGAAAGGGGAGGTGGGATTAGGGATGGGCAGTCTGCTGCAGTGGTCTCTGCAGCCACAAAAAGGGGAGGATAGTTGGGCATTTACCAGTGTGAAGCTACCAGTTGCTAGTTGACCCAGGCCCACGTGGCTCATGCCAAAGAAGTTTTCAAGGAGGAGGCAGCCAAGGTTAGGAGCCTGTGCCTCTTTAGCAGAGGCAGATGAGCATCTATTTGAGGTCACATGGCTTGTGCTAGATAAGTTTTGAAAGGGGAAGGCAGCTGAGGGTGGGAAACCAGGGATGCACTGCTTCCCATCAAATGTCTGCATTCCATCTAAAGATCCTTATTTGGAATTTAATAAAGTTGGCCGTTTAATTATCCCAACTAATATTCCACACTTGCCTGCAGTCCTTATGAGCAAAATCCTGGGTTCACAAATGATCTACAGTTAAAGTGAGTCAAGGTTTCACTTAGCTTTCAACAAGCCATAAATGAGAACTCTAAAAATATAAATTAAAATTCTTAAATGGGGGGCAAAATTGTAAATGTGGCTTTGTCTTCTTGTTAAAAACCTTAGAGATTCTTAGACTTAAAAGCACCTGTTCAGGTAGCTTTCAAATACACACACTTTCTGCAAGTGCTCAGGTTATACATCTGGTTTGGTTCATGCTGGGGTGGCTGTTTGACTTATGTGGTATCCTAGCAGGTAGGGGGTTGCAGTACAAATAAGCTAGAAAAAATAGAGCTACTGCAAGTATGCAATTAGTGATTGTAATAACAATAGTCTTCCAAGTGAGTACAAAATTACAAAATACACAGTAACAGTAGCGTTTTTGTTTTACAGATGATACATAGATGGACGAAATTCCCCGGAGTTGGTGTTCCGTTTCATAACGACTTCCTCATACATCAAAAAAACATACAGAAGTGCCCTCATACAGTCACAAATATTCCAACTGGATTCTTCATAAATCCTAAACATTTGTGGTGTTCATTCCTGTTGTATAACACTTTGGTCTGTATGAGGGCACTTCTGTATGTTTTTTGATGTATGAGGAAGTCGTTACGAAACGGAACACCAACTCCAGGGAATTTCGTCCATCTATGTATCATCTGTAAAACAAAAATGTTACTGTTACTGTGTATTTTGTAATTTTGTACTCACTTGGAAGACTATTGTTATTACAATCACTAATTGCATACTTGCAGTAGCTCTATTTTTTCTAGCTTGTGTGGTATCCTAAACATCTCAGTTCTACTTTCTAATGAAGTGAATAAAACTGGAGCCAGTGTGGTGTACTGGTTAAGAGCGGTGGCCTCTAATCTGGAGAGCTGGGTTTGATTGCCCACTCCTCCACATGAAGCCTGCTGCGTGACCTTGGATCAGTCACAGTTCTCTCAGTAGGGTTGCTAGGTCCTCTTTGCTCCCCAGCAGAGGGTGGGCTCTCTGGGAGTGCAGGGGGTGGGGCGACGTTGCCACATGCGACATCATGCAGAAGTGACATCATGCTGCAGACGCAACCTGGCAACAGTCTAGTACTTTGGGTACTACTAGTACTTTGGGTACTACTAATACTAGAGCATCACCATGCGGTGCCCCCAGCATGATGATATCACTTCCAGGTGGCATCATAACACTGGAGACGTTGTGCCAGGTGGTGGGTGTTGCAGGTGGAGCTTACCAAATTGGGGAATTCCCTGCTTCCACCTAGGGGCTGGCAACCTTATCTTTCAGAACTCTCTCAGCCCCGCCTATCTCCCAAGGTGCCTGTTGCAGGGAGAGGTAGGGAAGCCACTTTGAGACTCCTTAGGGTAGAGAGAAGCAGGGTATAAAAACCAACAGCACCACCATCACCACCACCACCACCACCACTACTACTACTATTACTACTACTACTACTTCACTTAAATGATATGTTAGGAAACATAAGAACATAAGAGACGCCAATGTTGATCAGGCCAAAGGCCCATCCAGTCCAACTAGGTTTGCCAAGTCCCCCTGGGGGGCGGGGAAACCCCCACCCCAGAGGCCTGTTCCCCGCCGGCAGTGGATCGGGCCCTGGGGGGAACCCCACCCCGTCGTGCACATCACCTGGAAGTGACGTGACCCCGCCAGGCATGCTGGGGGTGGGACCACGGTCATCCGAGGGAAAACTCTCTGGGAGTCCCCCGTGGGAGTCCCCTGCTGCGGCTGCTACGAGCACTTGGCAACCCTTAAGTCACACATTGGCCAAAAATACCAGGTGCCATCAGGAGGTCCACCACTGGGGCCAGGACATTAGAAGCCCTCCCACTGTTGACTCCCCCCCAAGCACCAAGAAGACAGAGCATCACTTGCCCCAGAGTCCCTATCTATACCTTGTGGCTAATAGCCACTGATGGACCTCTGCTTCTGTATGTCATTGTGCCTTCATTAGTTGGTATTCTCTCTGTTTGAAAGAGAGCAGGTCCAGGCAGACTGGCAGCAACACAGTGGGCTGCAATCAAATTAAGATATTTATTCATTTACTTCATTTATACCCCATCTTTCTCCACAATGAGGGCAAAGCAGCCTGCTTCATTGTCCTCTCCTCCATTTTATTCTCACAAGAATCCTGTGAGGTAGATTAGGCTAAGAATGTGTGACTTAGCCCTAGGTCACCCAGCAAGTTTCCATAGCAGAGTGAGGGATTCAAACCTGGATCTCCTAGGTCCTAGTCCACACTCTAGTCTGGGGTCCAAAACCTTCTTACGTCTGCAGGAACATCTGAAATTTGGGCACAGTTGTGGTGGGTGCAGTCACAAAATGGCTGCCATTAAATGGATGCCATGGGAGGTGGAGCCAGACACAAAATGGCTGTCACAGTTTACCTCCAGTCACACAGTGCAGATCCTTGTGTTGCAATGGCAGCTGCTGCCAACCCAAGGTTTCTAAAAATCCACACAGCCAATCAAATCTCCAATGACCACTCAGAAGCCTTGCTGGGCAAAAGCCTCATCTGGCCCCACCCACCTTCTAAAAACACATGGCAGGCAACAGGAAAGATATCAGTGGACATCATGGCACCCACAAGCACCATGCTGGGGACCCCGGGCCTAACCACTACAGCACAATGACATTTGTCTGTTTGAAAGTTTATTTAGAAGCCATAGCATTTGCACATCAAATTTTAACTAGCACTATTCAGTAATTTGAATAAAATCTTAATTCTGTTTGCTAGAACGGCTGTCAGTAGAATTTGCAATATTCTTTGTCTTTTAAGTTCATCATGAATGCTCTGTATGTCCTAGGGCTGCCAAGATCCAGGTGAGATCTGGAGATCTCCCAAAATTACAACTGATTTCCAGACTACAGAGATCAGTTCCCTTGGAGAAAATGGCTATTTTGAGGGTGGTCTGTAGGGCATTAAACCCCACTGAGGTCCCTCCCCTCCCCAAACTTTGCCCACCCAAGGTGCTACCCCCAAATCTCCAGGAATTTTTCAACCTGAATTTGGCAACTCTAGTACCGCCTGAGTTGGTATTATCTATTTTAACTTCAGGGAACCCACAAGGACTGGGGGGGGGTGTCACTTCCTTTTCCCAATGGATCCCCTTCTCCACATGATTTCTTCTTTCTGTCCTTCTAGCAGCTCCCACATCCTCTTCCCTTTCTCTCCTTCCTTTCCCCCCCTTCCCACTATCCAACCAAATTTTCTTTTATCTGCCCCCCTTATCTTCACCTTTATTATATATTTACTTCATGTATACCCCACCTGCGTGGTACCACTTCCCTCAAGTTTCCTGTATTGATATGCATCTTTTTTTCAGATTGTTTGCAGTGTCTTTAAAATGAAAGGCTCTGAGATGTTTAGTATTGTGGCAAATTCCACTTTTCAGTAACCTCTCACAGTCTTTTTCTCCTCTGTTGCAGAACAAATGTTGTGGTTTATTGAATGGAGAAAAGGACTGGCAGGGAAGTGTTACCATTAGAGATGGCTGTGCATGTCTTTCAGCAGATGTAGGAACCAGTGTCTGCGCCAGTGGTACAAACAAGTACACAAAGGTAAAAAGAATGTGTTGCCATGGAGGACTTTCTGACCAACTCACTTTTACGGGGGGATTCTGTGGTGTCTTTTCCTAAACCATCTCCACCTTCAGAGCTTGACAGCCAAAGTTACTGTCATTTTCCTTGCAACCATATATATTTAACAAGCTGGAGGACAACAGTGATCCACGCAATGGTCACCTCGAGATTAGACTACTGCAATGCTCTCTACATGGGGCTTCCCTTGTCGCAACTCTGGAAACTCCAGCTGGTGCAAAACGCCATGGCCAGGCTGTTGATGGGTCTCCCTATGCAGGAGTACATCCAGCCTGTGCTAAAGGCACTGCCAATAGCATACTGGATTCGCTTCAAGGTGCTGTTTTTGACCTTTAAAGCTCTATATGGCCTGGGGCCTGCCTACCTGAAGGACCACCTTTACCCACATGTTCCCCAGAGAGCACTGAGGTCAGGGTGGCAAAATCGCTTGGCCCTCCCTGGGCCGAAAGATGCCAGACTGGCTTCCACCAGGACGAGGGCCTTTTCAGTGGCGGTGTCACGGCAGGGCCAGGGAGCGTGGGTTAAGCAAATCAAAGCCAGTCCGAGGTTCAGCCAATAATTCAAACAGCACCGAGGTTTAAACAAGTCCAAAACAGTTCACAAAGCCAGCGTCAAACATACCATACGTCAGAGTCCATAAATCAAGGAAAGCCAGAGTCTTGCAGATCCGAAGTCGTGGTCAAACAATGCCGGGAGTCAGGGAGCAGAGTAACGAACGGTCAAGGTTTCAAAGAGTCCGGAGCAAGGTTGCACAGAGCGACTGGTCCTGTCAACTGAAGTTGCCAGCACAAATCACTTCCAGCAGCAGGTTTGTTGATATAGTGTGCTGGCTCATTAACTTGTTATCTTTCTTGGAGCAAGGTCAGGCCTCTGTTAAAACTCAGGGCTGAACGAGCATCTTCCGCGCATGCATGCAGCCTTGCGTCTCTCGTTCAGCTCCTGTCTTCTTTGACTCCTGAGCCGGTTCACAGGTGGCGGGGAGTCGGGTGGCGAATTGCTTGTGTTAAGCAGAGCCTGATCCGGCGCAGGTGTCTCTTGGGAGGTTCTATCCTCCTCGAGACTTAGAGTGTCTTCTGTTAAAGGAGCCAGTTCTTGGCTGGCAGGCTCTGCTTCTGGGAGTATATCAGGGGATTGTAGTGCCAAGTCCCCTTGTTCCTGGCTGTCAGCTGACACATCAGGGGCAGGCATGACAGGCGGCTCCATACTGGTGGGATAAGCTCCCAGAAGACATCAGGGCCCTGCGGCACCTTTTAGTTTAGTTTAGTTTTATTATGACAGTCTTAATACCAGCATACAATACAAACATAGTATGAAAAAGAAGGAAAAAACAGAGATAATATACAGAATAAAATCTAAATTTAAAAACTTTTAAAATGTGACTCCCGCAATCTAAGAATCAGTGCACAGAACTCAGCGACTGAACGTGTAATCTCTGGGACCTTTTACAGTTCCGCAAGGCCTGTAAAACAGACCTCTTCCACCAGGCCTTCGATTAGGAGCCGCCACTAATAACATCCACTTATAACATCAACAGCACCAACAACGCTAACTGAATGGTTAAGGCCCTTATACTGACATCAATAGCCAGCTATGTCGGATGCTGACGGGGACCATTTTGGGGCATATTCCATCATGGCCTCCAGGACGCCATCACTACCAGCACTTTATTTTATCTTGTATTATTTTATTCTGTACTATGAATTTCTTGTATTTGTCTTGTATATGCATGTGTGTTTTAATATATTTTTAACTTTTATTGTAAGCTGCCCTGAGCCTGCCTTCGGCGGGGAGGGCAGGATAAAAAATTGAATCAATCAATCAATAAATAAATCCCTGTGGGCACTGTTAGTGCTGGATCTGCATGATGTGCATGGGAAACAGAATATGTAGTTTCTATCATGGAAACCATGATTTCCTCAAGATGCTATAGTCATTGCTGCTGCTGCGTTCTACATCATTCCACAAGTAGAATACCAGAAGGAATCACAACAGATTGGATCCAAAGTACTGTAAGCAGAGCTCTGTTGGCAGAACTGTTGTGCCCCCTGCCCCCTGTGCTTTCCCAGGGTTGAGGGATCCCCAGGAATAGCCCTGGGTACACTGTAGAGGTCTGTAGTGGGAGGTTGGAATCTGTAAAAACTGCATACAGCCCTCCACTGACAGAAGTGCCCTTCCACTTGTAGAAAGTGAGCTTGAGGATCCAACCCATATATGTAACCTCCTTCCTCCCCCCCCCCAATTGGGGTGACAGACAGTATCTGTCCGAAGGCATCTGGATCGAGGTGGTGTGGCAGCATTGCTGCTGTTAGATCTGTCGGCCATATTTGATACGGTCGACCATCAGCTGCTGACCCACCACCTTGCCGACATGGGGATTCAGGGGCTTGTCCTCCAATGGTTTGCCTCTTTTCTCCAAGGTCGGGGACAGAGGGTAGCGATTGGGGATCAGCGCTCCCAGAGGCATTCTCTTGAGTGTGGGGTGCCTCAGGGGGCAGTGCTGTCCCCAATATTATTTAACATCTATACGCGCCCCCTCGCCCAGATTTCTCGGAGTTATGGGCTGGGGTGTCATCAATACGCAGACGACACCCAGCTCTATCTGATGTTGGGCGGCCGGTCAGACTCCAACCCAGATGACCTTCATCGGGTGTTGCAAGCTGTGGCTGGTTGGCTCAGGCTGAGTTGACTAAAGCTAAACCCAGCGAAGACAGAGGTCCTGGGCCTAGGTTGGGTCGGTTAAGGGTTGGGGCTCCCTCTCCTGGCCTTCGACGGGGCCCCTTTGGTACCAGCGCCGAGGGTTAGGAGTTTGGGGGTGCTGCTGGACTCCTCTTTAATGATGGAGGCCCAGGAAGCAGCCACTGTCAAGTCAGCCTTCTACCACCTGCGGCTGGCATGGCAGTTGGCTCCCTACCTTGACCGCAATAACTTGGCCACGGTGATCCATGCGACGGTCACCTTGAGGTTAGACTACTGCAACGCTCTCTACATGGGGCTGCCTTTGTCACAGATCCGGAAGCTGCAGCTGGTGCAGAATGCAGCAGCCAGGCTGTTGATGGGTCTCTCTAGGCGGGATCACATCCAGCCTGTCCTGAAGGAGCTGCACTGGCTACCAATAGCGTACCGGGTCCGCTTCAAAGTGCTGGTTCTTACCTATAAAGCCCTGCATGGCCAGGATCCAGCTTACCTAAGGGACCGCCTTTTCCCATATGTTCCCCCAAGGGCACTACGGTCTGGGGCAAAACATCTTTTGGTCGTCCCAGCCCCTAGAGATGTTAAATATGCTATGACTAGGGCCAGGGCTTTTTTGGTGGCGGCTCCTATCTGGTGGAACGAGCTCCCGGAGAAGACCAGGGCCCTGCGGGACCTTATGCAGTTCCGCAGGGCCTGCAAGACAGAGCTCTTCCACCAGGCTTTTGAGTAGGAGCCACCACTGTCACTGTACCACCACTGCGTTGCCATCTGGGCGATGTGAACTGGCCTTGGGAATGGAGAACGGACATGGTGAAGACTGATCAAGAAGAGACAGTAGTGCCCCCTGAAACATTGTATTGGAGTCCCCGCCTCGGATGATATTATGTGAGCACTGATTTTAAATGTAAAATATAATTTGATTGTTTTATTGGTTTTATTGTTATGTATGGCATTTGCCTCTTGTTAGCCGCCCTCAGCCCATGTGGAAGGGTGGGATATAAGCCAAATATGTTTTGCCCCTAATGAAGCCTGTGAATATTTTCTTGCAGATGAAAGAGATGATGACCCAAGCTCTTTGTACTCCAAATGACATGCTTTCACTTTCATTGGCTCAGTTTATAGTTTAAATCAGACAGTTGTACATATTTTTACGACTATACCAATTTTGCTGCATGCAAGGCTTACTAGCTTGTTAGTAGCAAATCAAACTGGCCTGTTAATCACATGACTGAGCACCATAGAGTTTCCCCTCGGATGGTCATGGCCCTGCCCCCAGCGTGCCTGGCGTCATAACGTCACTTCCTGGTGACGCGCATGTCAGGGTGGGGTTCCCCCCCGGGGCCCGATTCCGCGGCGGCAGAAATTGGGCCTCCAAAGTGGGAGGTTTACCCACCCCCCGCCCCCACTTGGCAGCCCTACCTGGAGAGCTGCTGCCAGTCAGAGCAAACAAGACTGGCATCTTCATGTGAGCATATTCCATTTGCTTAGGCGATATCCATTCAGCCTCCATAGTGATAATTCAGAGGTTTATAAAAAACATGCGGTAATTGTGTCTCTCTTGCATTTCAGTCATGCAAAGATATAGTCATTGATTTCTTCAAAAACCACATGATCATACTCATGGGGATCGCATTTGGATTGGCATTTATTGAGGTATGTGTGAACTAAAATATGAATTGCCAGCAAAGTGTGGGTGCAGTATTTTGTCGTGGTTAAAGTGAAGGACATGGATCTAGAAGACCCAGATCTGAACCCCGACTGGGGCCGTGGAATCTTGCTGAGTTGACCTTGGGCCAGTCATGCACTCTCAGCCTAACCTACCTCACAGGGTGATTATGAGGATAAAATGGAGGAAAGAACAATGATGTAAGCCACTTTTGGTCCCCCTTGGGGAGAAAGGTGGGGTAGAAATGATGTAAATAAATAAGGAGCTGAGTCAGCTCTCATCATCCCTCTTTAATGGTCCAGCACAGACCACAGGGAAGACTCCTTGCCCCACCCCACCCAGCACATCAAAACTTGGCAAAAATGGGACTGAGACCACGGCTGGCAGCACAGAACCCTCCCGAAAGAGCTGAAGTCAGGCATGTCTGCCCACCCTCAGGTGCAATAAATGCTCCTGCTGATGGCTGGTAGAGGCATTTCTATTTGTATCCTGCCTGTGCTTGTGTCTCGATGTGTCAAATGTTGGGCAAGCCTGGTCATTAAGATCCAGTTGTCACCACATTGCAACTTATTTATGTGATCATTCCAGATGGGTAGCCAAGTTAGTCTGTAGCAGCGGAGTGAAACAAGAGTCCAGTGGCACTTTAGAGACTAGCAGAATATGCTTCTGTGAGTCAGAGCTCGCTTCCTCAGATGTATAAGCAGATGTGTTTATACTAAAAAGTTGCAAGCGAGAGAAAGGCCGGGGGGGGGGCGGGGGCGGGGAGGAATAATACAAAACGACCAGGGTTCTTTTTTTAAAAAGATGCTACTGGAAGTATAACAACAGATGTACACTTCATGCATCTGATGAAGTGAGTTCTGATTTATGAAATCTTATGCTGGAATAAATGTTGCTAGTCTTTAAGCAGCAACTGAACTCCTATATTTAGGAACATTTCTGGTGGTGAGGTAATAGTGGCCTTCTCTATGTGATGCATGACTCCAAACTGATCCACCGAGGATGCAGCCATAGATTGATTTGAACTCGCCACCTTATAAGGGCTATTTATAAATATGTACTCTTAGCTTTCACCAAAACTAGATCTTCTGCAAAGAGGCAGACCCCCCCCCCCCCGGGCCAGTATCTAAATTCTAGGGCAAAGAACTGTATTATCACTTAATAAAAATTTGTCTGAAGCTAGCAGAGGCTGCAAAAAGCTGTTAATTGGAAAAAATAACAAAGGCTGAGTAAATGATCCAGTAACAAATCATGTGATGATTGTGCAATAATTAATGAAGTGAGAAATTTTCATGCTGTGTAATGACTAATTTACAATACTGGCCATCATATTCACCATGAGGGTTGTGCAAATTCAAACAGAACTTTTTGATCTGCCCTCTGTTGATGGTAGAAATAAATCTGAAAGTATTTATGTTTTTTTAAATGTGCTGGTTATGTTTTCCATTTTACAGTCTTATGTTTATGAAATAGCTTTGTGTAGCAATAGGAATATCAGCACATTAAGATCACATTTATGATATTGCCTCAGAGCCCTAAGACTATGAATCAATAACGAAAAATTATCCACATCAGAAAAGCTGCTGAGCAGTATTGAGATGCTGACCTGCCTGGTTACAGGTCCAGTCTGCCTGATGCAAGTATAATAATGAAAATGTATGTTGGACAGCTGTATATACTAGTCATCCACAGCTTTCCTGATACAATCCAGATGCAATGTACCGCAAGCAAGAAGAGTCTGTGAATGAACACCACCACACTAAAGACCTTGAATGTAGACTGTTTTGAAGCTCCATAGGTCAGTGGCAGAGCACAGACTTTGCATTCAAAGGCACCAGGGTCAATCTCTGGCATCTCCAGTTAAAGGATTGTTGATAACAAGACTGGGAAAGACTTCAGCTTCAGGGGTTTGACAGCCACTGCCAGTCAGAGTAAAAAATACTGCGCAGTCTGATTCAAGCAAAATGATTGAAGCCCTACACTGTCCCTCACCAGTGTTGTTGGCCTTGGGGACCTTAGTCAATTTTACCTAAGTAAAAATTATCTTGATGTTTTTTCTAACTTTTGATAATTAAAAGTATGTGTTTTAGCTGAATTCCAGCTGGAGGCACATTGTACTCTTACACCTTTTAGAGAGGGGAAGAGGGTAAATACACCTGACTTCAGAGAAGCTTGTGCAATAGTGTTTTTTTGTTGTTGTTTTTTTTGCATCAAACAGTGTTCTAATTATATCCTCTAATGAAAGGAGGCTATCCTGGAACAGTAATTCATCCACAAATGCAATAGGCAGCTTCATCCCATTCTGGATGGATAATTGTTCATCTTTTGTACACTGGAAGGGATTGACTGATATGGTAACATCCGCTGCAGAAGTCTAGCACAATTTCCTGCCATGGCAAAAGCCAACTGGAAGGAGCTGAGGCCAGAGCAACAAATCATGCACAGATGCAGCAGACAGCCTCCTCCATGGGCAAGTGTGCTAGGCTGTAATAGAAACCTTTATCTATCGAATTTACATCTCACAAATTGTCTCAAGGCACACATGTGAACTTTGCTTCATAGTCTAGAAACTACTGGTGTAACTGATCTCCATGTCAGGGTCGGAGAAGGAATTTTCCATCTTCTGGTGATACAGATAATGTTGCTATTATAGAATGAGGCAATTTACTTGCTATTGATTAACAATATATCTAACTTTCAACATGGCCAGATATGTGAATGGTTAAATTTTGAGAGTGGAGCCATGAACAGACAAGACAGATCTTTCTACACACCTAACAAAAGCCCCATATCTGCAGAAAAATGTGAAATCTTAAAAAATAAATAAAAATGATAAAAATGGGGGAAATGGTCCAAAATTATAGAAGCAGTGCCTGTAGCTTTAAGAAACAAATGCCCTCAGTGGCCACTGCTGGGCAACCACAGCAGTATTGGCAGCTTTCAGCCCTCAGTTTTTGTCAGTAAAAGATAGAATGGAGGGGGCACAGTTCTTTCCAGGGCTGTTTTGGCCTTTGAGGGATAACTCATTGAGGCCAGGCCCAGCAGCAACCACCAGATGACTTGCTACCTCCCAGTCTGAATCACTCACCTGAGCTGAGCTGTTTGCTGCTGTTCAACAGCAGCCACCCCATGAAAGCTAGTGTGGGTATTGGTGAAGTTTTACACTAGGATCTGGGAGTTCCAGGTTCAAATCTCCAGCCTGATGTGGAAGCTCACAGGGTGACTTCGGGCCAGTCACAGCCTAACTCATCTCAGATGGCTGTTGTAAGGATAATAAGGGTGAGAGGAAAATGATATAAACTCTTTTAGGGTCCCACTGTGAAGAAAGATGGGGTATAAATAAAGTTAAATAAATATAAATATAAATATAGCCAAATATGGGATGCAGATAAAGGTGGGTTGGTTGGTGGGTGGGAAGGAGAAAAAGACACAGGGAAAAGTGGGAATATGGGTGTTGCCAGGGAATGGAAAGAGGAAATAGTATGTGTGTGTGTGTGTGTGGGGGGGATGCAATAGCTCCGATGTCCTTGTACATCCCCTCCTTGTGCTTTACTAAGCCTATACCTTGTCCTTTAAAAACTTATTTAGACTTTATTCCAAAGGGGAAGCTGTTAGTCTGTTGCAGCAAAACCAGAAATGCGTCTTTAAGGTGCTGCAAGACTATCTGTTTGATTGGGAGCCAGCGTAGTAGTTAGGGTGCTGGTCTGGGATCTGGAACATCTGGGTTCAGTTCCCCACTCCACCCATGAAGCTTGCTTAGGTGACTCTAAGCCAGTCATAGTCTCTCTTAGCAGAATCTCCCTCACAGGCTTCTTGTAAGGATGCTGCCATGTGGCTTTTGGAGGCAGAATGGGATAAAAATGTACTAAACTGTGGTAAAAACTTTCCAGAGAAATTGTATTGCTAGTTAGTAGCTCTAGTGACACTTTGCTGAAGGCAATAGGTGAAGAAGTCTCTTCTGTAGTTCTACCAAGGCCACCATTCTGAATCCATTTAAGTTTTAAATCTCTAAAGGTGCATTCAGATGGGCCATTTGAGCTGGCTTACGTGCCGGTTAGAAACGGACTATTTATACATGATCACACAGCCAGCATCTGCCTTCCGTCCCTAGCCATTGCCAACCAGCTCAAAACTGCTTTAACCCAGAGTATTTTGCTACCAGGTCCCCAAGTGGTGTTTTCCTGCTGCTCCGGTTCCAGCCGCATTTCCCCCCTGTGTGATTGCTCCTCTGCCAGTGTAGAGCCACTTCCTGTTCCCCGCTCGAAAGCTGCCCAAGGCTTCCACTTTTCGCCCGCCATTAAAAAAAAAAAGTTTAGTGTTGGCAATATGCGCTTGGGCGGAGCTTCGCCCCGGCGTTAATAAAACCAAAGTTTAAACGGTGCCTAGTTTTAGCAGCAGTAATTAAATTGTCCTTCTGAAAACTTAGTTCACCCAGGAGAGAGAAGGGTTTTAAATTTTACATTCTGATCCATATCTTTTATCTAAAGAGAATGTTTGGGTTATCCTACGAGAATATTTTGAGCTACCTAATACAAATTGTTACCTCATCCACGAACAATTCTGCAAAATAAATAGTGCTTTGGAAAAAGAAGCAAAATCGTAGTGCTATCACTTTGACCATTGGCTTTAGATTGGTCCAGAAAGGGAGGAGAACAGCAAACCTTGAGTAAGACATACTAATTCCCAAGGCCATTTGCTAGCCCAAATGGCTTCACGACATGATTGATGTTCCCTTGATCCTTTGCAGTATTGTAGAGGATGCTGAGACAGGACACTTGGATTGGTCAGGTTTGCAACCAAGAGGCATGTCCCCAACAGTGCAAATGATTCTGGGACAAACTTCTTAGATGGAGCACTGTTTCATCACTGGTGCACCTAAACAACATTGCCAGCCCAAGTAACTACTTTGATTGCTCCTGTGATCTGGCTTTTTATGCATAGGGTTTTGTTTGTTTTTTGTCCTGAAACTAAAGGATTGATATAAAACTGGAATGCTTTTTTAAAGCTTCACATTCATAATTCAGATGGAGAAAAAGTACCAAAAAACCCCTTTCTGAACTGGGTTGTTTTTCCGTTTGTTGCTTCATTAGTGTGATGAGCCATAAAAACCTAATCATAAGAGATTTCTTCACCCTTTAAAGCACTCAATATTTTAGGATAAATGTAGGTTTCCCATAGTGTGGGTTTAATTAAAATCCCAGGATTGTAGAATCATACTTCTAAAAATTATTTTGCAAAAGGTTTTCTGCATAGCTGATTTCAGCTGCACATAAATCCAAGAAGTTAGCAAACAAAATGTTCTCACTGTGTATTGACTATGTGGGGGATATCTGAAACTGCCAAATAATACCATAAACATCTTTCTTTTCCAGGTTCTTGGTCTGGTGTTTTCAATGAGCCTTTACTGCCAAATCCAGAGAAAATGAAACCACAGAAGTGTCAGAAATCTGTCACCAGCCAAATGAGAAACCTTTGTAGATTGTAAGACTGATGTTTGGCTTGGCACCCTACAAGAAGTACATGTATGTCAGAAACAGCTGCAATGATAAGAGCCGGACCACTTCTTCATGAGTTGTGAAATAAAATCTGCTTAAAATTAGGGAAACTAATGATCTGTAGCTGGATTCTTTAAAATTGCAATTACTTGCCTTTTTGTTTATACTTTGTAAATCTCCCCCCCCCCCAAGATTACATGTCAATAAAATGAAACATTTACTTTGCCACCCATTGTGTTGACATTTCAGAGGAATCAAAATTGGGGAGATGCTTCATCCGTACAACTCTAAAGGCCTACTGTTAAGTAAGGGGGCATAAAAAAAATGGAGACCACCTCCAGTGTTTCTGCATGTCACCAAGCTGGGCATGCCCTTGGAGGTATGCTTCTTTTGAGGGGAAGGAGCTGTGGCTCACTGGTGGACCCCATAGTTTGCATGCAGAAGGCCCCATGTCTGGACACTGGCACCTAATAGAGAAACACAGCAGCAATTATCAGCCCAAGCAAAAAGATGAAAGGCCATGAAAGGCTATCTAGATGGACATCTTGTGCTTACAGGAACTGGATAATATAATTTATTTCTTATATTAGCATTTCTCTTATGGCACTTATGGTTTGGGAACTGACGTAGGTTTGGGAACTGACAGGAACTGGATAATGTAATTTATTTCTTATATTAGCACTTCTCTTACGGCTCTTATGGTTTGGGAACTGACATAGTGGATGAATATAGATGGCCATTTACCAAAGGGTAACACACCATGGTGTGTGTGTAATCACTAGGTAAGTCAACTGGCTGCATCATCCTTCCCAAGGGGAGGAGTACTGTGCTGCACCTGCTTAGAAATCTGCTTAAGTTGCTCTTTCTTACCAAACCACAAGGGAGCAGAGCAAGGCTCCCTCTAAGCAGTGGGGTTTTGTGAGCAAAAATTTGTCACAGTAGCTTTGTGAGCTACTGGCATTAAAGTTGTGAGTGAGCAACTTGGCTGCTGCATAGATTAGTTTGCTCTGGAGCCATCTTCCCTGAGCTAAGACAAAAATGTGTGAGCCGGAGGCTAAAACACTGTGAGCTAGCTCACACTAACTCAGCTTAGAGGGAACACTGGAGCAGTGCAAGCTCCGAGGTTCAGTTCAAGATCCTTTCTTTTCCTATCATGATTTAAGAAATCCTGAGTTCCAGGATATGTGCAGTAGCAGCAGCCCCCTCCCAGTCTTTACATGTGTAGAGTTGGGTTTGATTGAATTGACAAAAGGGCAGGAGGTTCTGAAGCTTCCCTTCCCCAGAGTCTCAAGCAGGTTTTCTCCCACAGCATTTGCCTCTTCCAAAGTGAGTGTGCGCACACACACGGCACATATATTAGGCCACCACCATAGCATTATGGAGTACAAGAAAAAGAAGCTGAATATGGCCACCTCTGATACATTTTGCAAGAGAATAGTGTTTTCTTCGAAACTGAAGTTTTTATGATTCCCATTTGTGATTTGGAATCAGCTTTGTTCCATGAACAATAGTGTGTGTTGGATCTACTATAATTGCCCTTCAGGTAATCATGATGTGTTCAAATTGGCAATTGAAAGGAGATACTTCCTGGCCTGTATGCTTTCTTTCAGACCAAAGAAACCATTTTATTTTGTCCACGCTGTGCTTGTTCTCAGCTGCCTTTAAAAAAAAAGAATTTAAAGAAAGCAGTTAGTTCCTCAGTGTTGTTTCAAGATCAATGCAATTGACAGTCTTTCTGGGAAATGTTTAAATGGGAGTAGAAATTAGAAAAACCTGAATATTTTAGTACTGAAACCGAGGGCTGATAAAACAGCCTGTTGTTACCGAAGGAGCATTATGCCCACTTTTGGAGTAGTGCCTTTTTTCTGTTTGGTTTAAACAACCTCAAATTGGATAATCTCAGTTTAAAGATCTTGATAGCTGATTTGTTTTTGAAAATCCTATCAAAACTGGCTTTTGGTTTTAATATCTGGTGTTTAGCAAATCTGGAATGTTAGTAATTCCATTCTGAGAAAAAGAGATTACACAAATGTATTCCAGTGTTGCATTTAAAAAATTTTAAATGTAAAAAAGTAGCTTAGATCACTTCTTGTAGACTGCTTCCCATTGGGTGCCTGCAGCTTTCTAGGGTTCCATTGGTCATGCCACAGTCTGTCAAGGAATTATGTGGTCTCCTTATGGGTAAGGAATTTGCTTGACAATTATCCTGGCCCTCTTCTTGAGACCCAAACATAGAACTGTGCAACTGCTAAGAATCTGCTACTAGGCCATATCTGAGGCAGAGGTTCTTCCTTGCCCTGGAAAGGGATACTGAATTTCCTACTGCTATGAAAGACCCTATAGCAAGGCACAAACTAGAGGTACTGGCTACAACCTTGATTCTCCCAAAGTAAACAGCTGCTCTTAATGTACTTCAGTAGAACTGAGACTGAAACTTTTAGCTCAGTACCAAAAGTATGATTGTGTGAAGACCTAAGGTAAGCATCATGTTTTGAATTCATGATGGTTGTTTGCCAAACCTTCCTTTGTGTTTTGTTGAATAAGTGTTATGAAGCTGCACTGTTATGATTATGTTGCTATGATATTTAATTGGTCTGAATCCAGAAAAACCTTCAATTGGTTAGTCATCTGTCAAAGAAATTGACTGTGGTTGTCATTAAAGACTTGCCAAGTTCATACTTACTGACATCGATGGCATTCTGCTATTCCCTACAGAAAAAATATTGGAGACTTTCGTATAGATGGGGGAGACAAGCTGATGCGGGTGCTAAATATTATCGAGGTCTAAATCCAAAGCAACTTAGCCAGCCACAACAGAAAGACACAAGTGCAGCACAAGACCATGTACATAACATGGTGGGTGGGAGGGTTTGTTCAGTAGAACACCTTCTGTGTCTGTTACTTCTTGGGCTTTCAGAGCTGGGCAAGGGGGAACAGTACATACCTGATACTTTCTGAAAAGTACTGAGACTGATGCAGTGATTTCAGCTCATACTTTTATTAAAGGTGAAGAACAAGACAAAAGTATTGGCTCGTAGGCCAGCTTATATTCCCAGTAAACCCACACCCCAAACACACCCCACACCAGTGATAGGTTATTTACATTAGCCAGGTGTTCCATTGGTCCTCGCTAGGATCCTAGCCCTCGGACAGACCGTGGCCAGGATCCGCTCAGGCCATTGTTCTCGGATGCAAAGCTCGGCGGCTTTGCACGACCGGGTGGAGGACCGGCCTCACATGCGGTCAACCTCAATACATAACACCCCTCCCCCCTTGGTCCAAAGCACATATACACACATAGTCTCTAAGATAGGCTGGCACTTTTCGTTCCCTAGTGGAGCGGCGAAGCTCTGGGGCTGTCGTGGGGACTATTTCTAAAGTGCCCGGGGTTGCGCTGACTGGAGTTGTCGGTGGTGTCTCGGTTGGTGGGGGTCTCCATGGGGCGAGCTCCCTGTCCTCAGTGCTTGGTCTGGGTGAAGCGTCCGGTAAGGCTGGCATGCCCTGGAGTGGCAAGTGCGTTGCGGCCTCCTGGCCGTCAGGTTCCTCGTAGTTCCCATCCTCTGGATCCAGGGGCAAGACTCTCCAGAATAGCTGGTTAATGTGCCTCCTGTGGACTTGGCCATCTTCGCTGGAGACCTCATAGGACCGAGGTCCTGTCACCCTTACCACCCGGGTGGGGATCCATGGCGGGCCCCACACGTAGTTGTGCACGTAAACCGGGTCCTCCAGGAAGAACCCGCATGAAGCCTCCTGCGTCTCGGGAATGAGTTCCATTTCAGGTGCCTGGTCGGGGTGGAGGTGATCCAGCTGGGTGGTCAAGCAGTGGCCCAGGAGCAGTTCCATGGGGCTATGGCCAGTGGTGGTGTGGGGTGTTGTCCATTGACCAAAGAGAAATGCCACCAACTTGAACTCCCAGTCCCCAGTATCTATCTGCCGGAGCGCTTCTTTGGTGGTTTGTATCCATTCTGCTTGCCCGTTCATTGCCGGATGGAAGGGGGCCGACCTAATGTGGTGGTCTTAAATTCCTCAGATGTGAAAGCCAAGCCATTGTCGCTCACCATGGAGTCCGGGATGCCTTGAGCACTGAAGATCCTCCACATTGCCCAGATGGCCTGACTGTGAGGAGGTGGAGTAAACTGGGACCACCTCCAGCCATTTGCTGTAGAAATCTACAAGGATAAAGAACAGCTGTCCCTGGAACGGGCCCGCGAAATCCAGGGGTAACTGATCCAGAGCCTGTGGGATGATTCCCAGGGGCGCACTGGTGCACTGGGGTGTGTGGGCCGTGTCTCCTGATATTTCATACAGCGCTTTACAGTGTCCTCAATGTCTCGGTCTAATTCCGGCCACCAGACATAACTCCTTGCCAGCGCCTTCATCCCAATGAACCCCGGGTGGTTTTTGTGGAGCGCTGTGAGGACCCAGTTTTGTAGAGGCTCCGGAATCACCACTCGGCTTCCCCACATCAGACAGCCCTTGTGGGACGATAGTTTGTCTTTCTGGGAGGAAAAAACTGTAAATTCGCCCCCCCCTTTGGCCTGGGGACTACCCCCTCCCCACCCAGTCCAGAACAAGGCAGAGGACCCGGTCCTGGGCTGTGTGCCATGCCACCTCCTGGACATGGACTGGCCACTCTGGAAGCAACTCCATCAGAGTGACCTGATGAACTGGGACAGGGTCGAAGTCCGTGATGGGCAGGGGAAGGTGGCTCAATGCATCAGCATGACCCATTGCTTTACCTGGCCGGTGAACCAGAGCATACGAGTAACTGGCCAGGAATATCGATCAACGAAGTACATGGGGGGGGGGAAACCATTTGCGGAGAAGGGTGGTCGGGGGTGAGGAGGCCCAGAAGGGACTTGTGGTCTGTCATGATGGTGAAGGGCTAGCCGTACAAATAATGATGAAATTTCTTCACCCCCGCTACCATAGCCAGTGCCTCCTTGTCGATCTGCACACCCCACAGTTTCTCCAAAGCAAGGCATTGCTAGCTCCTAAAATAGGTTTCTTCACAGACATTATTATGCATTGAAGGTCCCCTTCCTCTCTTATCTTTCCAAAAACAAACAAAACCAGCCCTGTGTATCCAATGAATTTGCTAAGTTGCTACAAAGACTAACAAGACTGACTGAACTGGAGACCTTGGCAGCCTGAGCAATGTCATGATGCTACCTGGCACTCTATTGCTCCCACTAGGTAATATTGGAAGGCCTGGCAGACT